GGGGGGGAAGCACAGCCCATGGCAGACGGGCCCCCCCCGTGACGCCAAACTGGACCCCGCCGCCCCGCAGGAACCGCCCCCCGGCCCGACCCCGCCCTACGCCGCGAGCAACCGCCGCGATGCCGCGACCATCACCGGTGGGTCGGGATGGGGGGACGGGGAGGGGACCGGGAAACTCCCGGCCTCGTCCCTTCCGCGCGTCCCGGCATCCCCCGCCCCGTGTCGCGGTGCCTCCGTGCCGCCGGGAGGTGGCAGCAGGGATTCTCCCCAGGAGGCGGAGGGGAGGGGGAGAAGGATGGGATGTGGGTCCCCGTGAGCCGCCCTGCGCTGGAGCGCCCTCCCGGGGCACGGGCGGCTTTGGGGTGATCTGGCTGCTGGGGGCACCAGCCCCGGACCCCACGGGGGCAGAGGGGGGCAGGAAGCTCTCCTCCAATGCGTCCCCCCGCGCCAATTTTCTGTGCCCCCATTCCGACCCCGGGTGCCCCCGGCCCCCAACTGACGCGCTGTCCCGTATCCCCAGAGCTGTGCACCGGCGATGTCCCCGAAGTGGAGATCGTCACCCTGCTGGGCGAGCAGCTGCCCCGCTACACGCTGCGTGCCGACACCGTCTTTGGCTACGACCATGAGGACTGGCTACGTGCCCCCCCCGCCCCGCAGCCCACAGTCCCCCTGACCCCCCAGCAGATCGAGGAGACCCTGTGGTACTTTCGTGAGTGCCCGGCCCTTGCCACGGGGCTGACCGGGGGCAGCGGGGTTTGGGTGGGGGTCGCGGGGTGTAGGATTCAGAGTGGGGGTCACAGGGCAGTGCAGGAACTAATCGCCACTAACGGGATTGGCGGAGTGGATTTCCTTGGCCAGAACATCCCGGGCTAATTCTGCTGAGCTGAGCCGGACGTGTGCAGAGAGCCCCAGCATCTCCCAGGGACCCCTGTGCGGCCCCCCCTCCCATACACTGTGCCGAGGCTCCATGGGGTTGGGACCTGGTGGGGGCACAGGAGGGGTCTGTGCTCTGCTTGGACCTTGGTGCATATGTGCTGGGGGCAGGAGCAGAGGGGGGAGCTGATGGAGGTCTGGGGCAATAGGGCTGCATCCCACTGCCAACCTCGCTGCCTCCTCTCATGCATGAGGGGCTGGGGGCACCCGTGGTGGTGGCATGCTTGTGCTTGTGGCCCCGTGGTGTTCCTGCCCCCCTCAGCCATCAGCCCCCCACCCTGCAGCCTCAGCCCCCAGCCCTGTGCGCGCAGTGTGGCTCAGCAGCGTCACCACTCCCACTCCATGTCACGTTTCTCAGTGCCCCATCTGTGCGTGCTGTGCCCCCACTCCCTCATCCCCTCACCCAGACTGTTAAGCTGCCATCAGAAATAGCCCCCTGTAATCTACTTGTGCAGAGATGCAGAAACCTGCATGGAGGAGCAAAGCTCCAGCAGGGATTAGGAGGGAGCAGCTCCTGCACACTGCGTCCTTGAGGTGCCCGTGGGTGGGTGCCTGCCCACAAACTGCAGCACCAGGCAGGAGCGAGGAGAGGGCAGAGCCAGGAGGGTGTTGTGTCTGAGGCAGAACTGGAGGGAGTCAGGATCCTGGATGCTGCAGGGAGGGTTCCACGGGTGGGAGTCCAGCAGGCAAATAAAGGCATCGTGTGCTGCTGAAGGGCAGCTGCAGCCACAGCCTCATCGATTCATTGATTAGTTCAGTCCTAACAAGGACGGGCGCTGGGGGCAGGTGGTGGTGGAGGCACCGTGCATATCAGCACTCTTGGCATCCTGATGGAGAGCAGCGCTGCTCCCCCCACCCATAGCCCTCTGCCCACAGCGCAGTGTGCCATACAGCTGCTCCATCGTATAAGCAGAGTGTGATTCATTCAGCTCTCCCTGCCTCAGTGCTGCCTCTGCACAAATCTGTTGGTGGAGGAGCAGGAGGTGCACCCGGATGGGGCGCGTGGGGAACAGGAGCAGTGCAGCCACAGCTGGCTCAAAGCAGGGGGTTTGCTGAGCGGGGCAGTTTGAGGATGGCAACTGCTGTGTGCCATGGGGGTGACAGGGGGACAGCCCAGCCTGGGGCAGCATGGGGCTGGCAGGTGAGAGGCAGCGGGATGCAACTCTGGCAAAGCTGTACTGTGCTGTGAACTGGGTGTCACTGGGCCCCCAGCCCTGCATACAGCCCAGGTTCGGTTCAGGGACCTGAGAGCCCTCCCGACCCCTCCAAATAGGGCAGAAGCCGCTGTTTGTGCACCGCCAATCGGAAGTCAGCCCTACACGGCTGCTGCTCAGGGATCGGTAACCCCTCAGCGTCCCCTCTTGGCAGCTCCCATCGGGGGATGCAGTGCACAGAACACCCCGTGTCCATGCGAGGCTGGGAGGTGGGAACCAGAACCACCCCCTGTGAGGAGCGCATCCCCATGGCGAGCGTGGTTCTGCGTTGCCCGATGGGGGTTGTGGGGTACACGATGGGGCCGTGGGTGCATGATGGGGGCCGTGTCCCCGTAGCGCACAGAGAGCTGCTGCTGCCGGCCGAGCTGCGCTGCGCTGTGCTGCGCCGAGCCGGGGGGGAGCGTGCAGCCCCCGACCCCGCCGCCCCCGCCCCGCTCAGGCCTCAGCGCCGCCCCCGGGACGCAGCGGGCAGGTGCGGCCCGGCCGACCCCATAAATAGGGGCGGGAGCGGGCGGCTCGGCACGGCTCCGCGGTGGGCACGGCACCATGGAGATCTGGAGCAGCCCCGCCGCTTACGACGAGCTGAACGGGAACGCGGAGCGCGGAGGCGGCGCGGACCCCATCGCCCGAGAGCTGGAGGAAGGTGGGGGCGGCCCGGGGGGGCGCGGGGCTGCGGCGGGGCCGGGAATGCGGTGGGGATGCAGGGCCGGGGGCTCCACGGCTGCCGGTCTGTGTATTTCCCTTGGGGTTGGCATTCCCCCCACCCACCCACTCATTGCTATCCGGTCCCTTTGGGGATCATTGTGATCTCAGGGGGGGTTCACGCAAGGTGGTGGTGGCAGAGGGATGGGGAAGGATCCGTGTGGTTGTGGGTCTGGGGGCAGCCCTCCCATGGGGTGTGGGTCCCCATGCTGTGCTGGCCCGGCCGTGGTGGTTGCTGTGTACGTGTTGGGCAGCGTATGGCTCCCAGGGCCCGCTGCTGGCTCACGCCATAAAGATGCTCATGCTCCAATTATTTCCAATTAACGGCTCAGTGGCCTGACGAAGTGCGGTTAGGGACCCCTGCGGGAAGCAGGCCCTGCTGAGGGGAGGGGGCTGGGGCTGAGGCTGTCCCCCCATCCCTATAGATGCACCAACTGGGGTCTGGGCAGAATCACGGGTGGTGAGTGGGGGCATCGCCATGGTGATGTGCGCCATTACACAATCCCATCTGGGGCAGCGTAATGGGATTTGTGTGGCTGAGCCTCCCCCGTTAACCCACTTTGTCTGCCCGCCTGGGGGAGTGCGTGGGGTGGGGGCTGCAGGGTGAGACTGCTGGGCTGCTCTGCTGGGGAAACTGAGGCACGTGCCGCAGGGCTGTGAGGACAGTGGGCGGCTCTGGCAGCAGCTGTGGCGTGCAGGCAGTCCTGGGGCAGGCAGAGCTCAGGGCCTCATGCTCACTGCTGGCTGCCTCTGCAGGTGGTGGGTCAGTGCCGGGGGGTGGGCACCCCTTGTGTCGCCAATCTGCCCCAGATATACTGAGAGGAGGTGACCCCCACAGTTCTGTGTCTGTTCCTGCAGCTGCTTTTGCTCCCATTGCTGCTCGTAGACACTGCTCTCTGCAGCCATGGGGGCACTGGGTGGGCACGGGGCGCAGCACCCCAAAAAGGTAGATCTCATTGTTGGGCCCCGCTGTGGCTGTGGGATTGGGATGCTGTGGGCTCTGTCCCTTTGCTCCTGACCATGGGCTGGAGCAGATCCCTGTGCTCAGCCAGCGACCTCATGCAGAAACTAGGGCAGGGCTGGCTTCCTGCAGTGACATCTGGGGGAGGGGGCTGGGGGGACGCTGCGTGCAGCTCGACTTCATGCAGTGCTGCATGGCGTTGTTTGTGCCAGTGCTTCCAGCCTGGTTTGGAGATACCACCTCCCTTCGGCCCCTCCTTTCCATCCATGTGCCTTGTGCCAGGACAGGGGGACACTGGCACCTTCCCCTTCACAATGAGATGTGGGGTGATGTTGGTGTGTGCCACACAGTGCCACAGGAGCATCTCTGCCTGCACTGTGCTGCTGCTGCCCAGCAAATGGAAGCAGTGCAGGGCAGCTCAGCGCAGCTACTGCAGCCATCGCCCATCACTGTGCACTGCAAGGGCAGCGCCTGCCCATGGGTGAGCTGCAAGCTGCAGTATGAGAGGAGGGGGCAGCAGTGAAGCACCGAGC